ACTATGACGATAGCAAAAATGACTTGAGTAGGAAGAAAGTGTTTGTAAATTTGTACGGCTCTGGAGACAAGGGAGGTTTAAAAGGTTGGCCTTTACATGAATCACTGCGGAGCAAACACCAGAAAAAGAAGTAGAAGAGAAATGTTACCCTTCCTCGGCCAAGTGTATAAGAGACAACTTAGAGAGACAGATGCCGAAACGATCAAAATCCCAGACCTTCCAAGTCTCTCGAGTACGGTAATTTACAACTCATTCCAGCATAGATGGAACGAGTTGTGCAAGAAAAAAAAACCTAAGTATGCTAAATAGTGTAACTATGATGTGAAAGTAAACAATTGTTTTTTTTGTGTGGGTATCTAGGATATGCTTGCAGGCTGGATTTGGATATAATAGTCACACTTGATACTCAACTCCTGTACATTTGTAAGACAAACTATTTCTCCTCACTTGTCTTACATATGATCATAATAAGCACCAAAATCTCATAGAAAGAATCACAGTACACTACCGTAGAACCTGACTAAACTAATACTGTTGGGACTGGAAGGTCAGTATTAGATTATGGAGTTAATTAGTTAATGAAAGTCGGATAGGATGAAAGTCGGATGAAAGTCGGATAGTCGGATAGTTTAGACAGGTTCTACTGTCTAAACTATTCCTTGTCCGCATAATATTATGTGAACAACGTTTGCATAGCCGTTTGCAATTACAAAAAGACCAACTTAAAAGCAACACAAAAGTAGTTTATTAAATATATTGAGTATAAAAGGTCTAAGAGATTCTGGATCCAAATCTAAGGGTATACATTTAGAGAAAAAGACAATGATATGACGGAAATATGGCAAAATTGACACGTACAAAAAATCACTGTCGTGTAATTAGGTATCTGGTAGAATAGAATGTTGTGTGAATATCAAAGTTGTTGATACTCCTTAAGACAATGTGGTTCAAAAGTTAAATCCAAAAATTTATCACTTGCTTAAAGATAATTCATGATACCAGAAATATATATACTAAAAATAATAATTTTGGTGACAAATATATCTTAGACAATGTTTTTTTATATATTTTCTACATTAGATAAATCTTTGATATATTTTTTATATAAAATAACTCAATATTTATGAAAAAAAATAAGCTTGTAAAATTGAATATATTTAGTTTGTTAAGATTCAAATGTTTGATAGAGTTTAATATGACATGATCCATATTATATTTATACTCAATTTAAAGAGATTATGATCTTCATTGGAGTTATTGATGCAAAAAATTTTGAATGAAATCATAAAAGTGAAATGCTTGAAGTGAATATACATGATAGTATTATGTTAAAGGATTACAAGCACAAAAACATATATTTGCTAAAGGTCATTAATATATGTGATGAAATCAACTTCACGAAATTTTGAGTCAAGATGTTTTGTGTATGACATATTAGACTAGATTACATGTGTTTTAAATACATGGCACTATTTGATGATGGGAGCACTATTAAATAAGCATCATAGACAAGTTTTTGGGATTGGAATTCATAATTGCAAGTAGTTATTTAACTATGTACATAATGATGTATGAGTTATTTTTTGCTTTTGTATTATGCATATTTTATTGATGATTACTCAAAATTTGTGTGGATTTATATCTTTACACAAACTTTTACAAAGATAACAATTTTTAAAGTTAAAAATTTCAATTTGAAACTAAGACTAAATAGAAGATGAAATATTTACACAAGAATATTGGCAAAAAGTATATTTTTGGGTAGTTTTGAAGTTGTTACAAAGAAGAGTGATTTACTTGTCATCTAACCGCAATTTATACTTCGTAATAAAAATCTATTTTATTAAAGTTTCAATTGAATAGTGTTGGAAAAAATGCAAAGTATGTTGAGTCAATCTGGTTTATAATATGAATTTTGGATTAAAGTTGTCAATATTGCAATATATTTTATCAAATATTTTTCCATCTAGTTCAATCAATTTTTTGACATAGTTTGAAAATAGTCACAAACAGGTGACATTTCATGAGAAACACAAGTAGAATTAATTAACAAGTTATTCCATTGTTAGGTCTCTCTCATGTTTTGGCTACGATTTTGTTCTTGTTATTTTTAGCATAAAGAGAAACCTATGTTAGTATATCTTAAAAAAATTATTGCGTAGCAATTATATAGGTTATGAATGATATTGTTTCCACAACATGAGTTAAGGAATAGATTTTTTAATATTAACTCAATTTTTGAGTTAAACGTTACTTTATCTTACTTGAGTGAGAGTTAGGTCTAGGCTTAACTCTAGTCTAGGTTAAAAGTAGGATTTATGCAGCCTTGTTTATAATGAATTCTAGCCATAGCTCTCATTAAACACTTTGTGGGTTTTGCAATAAAGACCTCATTCTTTTGGGAGTGATGAATCATATATTTCCTTGCTCGCTTTGTGTTTGCATGAAAATTTTTGATTTTTGCTTGTGCATTTTTTCTAATGTTTTGAATTTTGTATTATATATATAATCTTTATATACATGTATAATCTAGTTTGAAAAGTCTCATCAAAATAAGATAATATTATTATTTACAAATATGCATCAGTTTTATATTCATGACCATTATTCTATTTCTTTAACACTTTCTTATTCTATTCAATTGAATTTAAAATTATTCTCATATGAATAATGTGTCATGTTACTTGAAAGAATTGAATCTTGAAATCAAAAAATTATTGATTTCAAGATTTGTACCTTTAAATCTACATGCATGTGGTAACACTCTAGCCATACAAAAATCAAATAATCTGTATTATGATTAACATAAAATCCTAAAGCATGAATTTACTGTATATTAAGCTACTTACCTATTATGTGGTTATATCTTTCAAATGATAATAACCACTTCAGCCGGTAAATCCTACAAGTTAAACTTCCTTTTTGGTGATTTATGTAAGGGTAGTAGTGAAAGTTACCTAGAATTAGGTAATAAAAATGTAGCAGCGGTTTGGATCCAACAAAATCCGCTACCAACGGAAATCAGAAAATTTTATTATCTGATATACAAAGATCATGATTTCATGATCAGGTATCAAATCTAGATATTTTCAAGAAGAAATTTCTTAATTTTATCGTACATAAGATATAATAATTACTATAGATGATAATATGACGTAAAAAAATGAACGGGAAAATATGTGTATTGGCAGATGACTAATAAGAATTTATAAAAGAGGTCGCTGGTTTGCTAATATACGTTTGTCGCTATGTAGTTAATGATTAATTGACGGAGATGCAAGAAAGATGTTGACTCCTCACGACAGCTTACCAATAATGCTTGAGCAATTATATAAATGATATGGAATGTTTCGATTAAAATATTGTAGACTGTACAGATTTCCAAAGACAACGTCACATCAATAAAAAATCCACTTGCAAAGGCTTGACGCTTTTCATCGAATCCTCTAGAATATAATAAACTTACATTCATGCACAGAACTATAGCGAGGGTGTACTAGACAGGCAGAGACTCCATTCACTTTCATAGATCTGCTTAGTGCCTTCGAATTATTACTCATGTGGAATCACGTCCTCCCAACTTTTGGAATAGAGGACAGAGTCATGTGGGGAATGCAAATCATTGACCAAATAACTTTGATGCTCGATTTTGACAGGATGGACGACAAAGCTCGAGGTAAAGTCATACATAAGCATTAGAGACATAACTCACAAAGCATGAATATTTCTCACCGTTTACTTTTGTTAATGATCAAGAAACGAAAAGCTTGAAAACGAAAACTTTGTAAATAAGCAAGGAGGAAAAGCTTGGGTCGTGAGTGTGATTCTCCGTACATCTCAGCTTGGGCCAAGTTCGGACGACAAGACGTCGGTTGCTTGAACATCGAAGATGTGAAAGTAACGGGCTTCACTTCGAATTCATCGATTATCCTATCTGATGTATATAACTCGAAATTCAGCCAGCGAGGGCGATTCAATTAGGCAGCGTCACAAGACTCCTGGAGTTAGAAAAATTCAAGGTTCAGTATCTGAGTTTTCATAATATGGAGGGGATATTTCCGAGAAAGAGAGAGGTGGTTGATGTCAGGTGAGTCAGTTTTAACATTATTTTTGAAGTTCATGGTTGAGAATAAATCCGATGTATAGCCAAGGTTGTCGTTACAAAATCAAAGTACCGGACCGGACATAGACAGAGCACTGGATACACTAGAAAGCAGTCGCGAAGTGGTTCCCTATGCATGGCCATGCTTCGAAGGCCCTTCATGATGTGACGACCGGAATCGAGGACTCATCGCAGCGTGCGCTGGCAGCCGCTCATGCGCCGTCTTTCAAGAAGCCTCCAAGGCCAGCTAACGTGGGCCTACCGGGGCTCACCGACATCCATACTCCGAAGTCTCGTTCAGGCATCTCGTTGACTGGCGATCGCCCGCGGTCGCCCTCCCTGCAGGCATGGGCGGGGCCCACAGAAGCTCACGGGCATAGGAGCCTGGATGTCTGTGGACTGTGGACAACTGTCTCGCCGAAGGGTATTACCGCTCGCGCACCCGCCTGTACGGAGGCGAGGATGGTCGGGAGAATCGAATCTCTGAAAGTTCAGTTCGCCAGGACTCGCGGCAGCCGGGGGCGATCGTATAGCGGGGGCTGGCTCCAACTTTAGTCGACCCTCGGCCTGCACCACCAGCCGGGACGGAGAGGGGTGACGTGGAGCCTTCCACCACGCGGCGCTCTCCGATTGAGCGCCCGACCATCGAGCTGGAGCGAGCGTAACGAGTAGAACGACAACAGCTGAAGACGCCCTAAACCGTGGTCAGCCGAACCCCACCGCGGCAGGTCTGAAACCGCGATAATCCGACCAGCATCTGACGGTCAGGAGGAGGATCGGACGGCGGTCGGTGCAAGATGCCGGGGAGAGTTTAGGAGGAGGGCGAAGAAGAGGAACTAGGGTAGAGACGATGGATGCATCCATTGGCGATGGGGGAGCAGCAGGCCGAGCGGGAGCGGGGGTTGCTTCATCATGGCTTGAGATGGCGACGCCGAGCAGGTCGCCGTGGGCGCCGTAAGGCAGGAGGAGGTAAGGGGGATGCGATACAGGGCGCATACAGACAGCAACAATTCGAAAGGCGACGGATAAAGCGAGTGAGCGAACGAACGGGACGGAGTGAAGGACATTCGGAGGGCGCCGGAGAAAGAATTGCGGCCGAAGCAATCTTGGCGCTGCGCTGCGTCCGCGGGGAGGAGCGGGGAGGGGAGCGGGGAGCGTCGAGTGCCGTTGCCATGGAGCGGGGCATCACCACCATCAGCCTGACGTGGGCCGGGGGCGCTGGCCGGAGTCTTGTCGCCCGCGGGGGCTTTTAAAGGCAATAAGAAAGCGGATGATAATCGAGAAAGCGCGAGCGGAGACCTGTGGCAGGGACACATGGTGAAGAAGAAACGGGGAGCAGGGGCGCAGGGACGAATGGGCGAGGCCGGAGGGCATATATAGCGAGGGGCGCTTGGCCGTTTGTCGCATGCATTGTCTGTCGAGGGAGTTGGCACATTTAGGCCAACGGAGTGTTGGCGTTGCAAGGTTGGAGGGCCAGTTTCGGAGTTTGGCACCGGACGACGACGAAGAGGAAGATCGAGGGCCTGTGCTCGGAGTGGTAGCCGTTCGCAGTCCCTCTGCCTTCCTCGAGAGCCCCGGCGATGCGGTGCATGCAGATCCAACTGGGAATTTAGTGTGCTAGCGGACCTGGATAGGAATGCGTCTGGACGGGAGACGGACTAGTGTCAGCTAGGTTTTGCAGAACCGATTCTCCGCCAGGGCTGGTCGACGGAGGATAGAGAGGGTTCATGGCGGAAGGTTGTGCCGGAAGCTGGCGTGAGGAGTGGCAATTCCGGGAAGATGCGGCCTGCAATTCGACCGAGAGGAGGCTTCTTGAGGTTTAGTCATCTTGTAGCACTGTAATCCATCGGCATCAGCTGCATCCGACAGCATTTTGTTCAAAACCAGTCATCTCCAAGCTAGTCACCATGAACGGCTTCCCAGGTAGGGTCAGCGTGCTCCGTCTGTTCATCTTTCGATCTTTGGAACTTTTAAATTTGAACCCGAGCTATACCTTTGGGAATTTGCTCGCCAACCCAAGGCCCACCCGAGGCCTCCCCATTTCCCGTCGATGACAATTCTGTTCCAAGGCCCGTAGATTTCTGTCGTTTTATCCTCTTTCATTGTAAATCCGTCTCATTGCCTTTCAGCTCTCTTCCCCTCCATGTACCTCTGATGAAGCCTGTCTCCTAGAAGTGGGAATGTTCTTGCTCCTGGTAGCTGATGATTTTCCGTAGCACTTTTTAGAAGGCAAATTTGGTTCTTCAAAGTAGCTTCTGAGCCGATCGGGTCTTGCTTTGTGAACTTACCGATGGTACTGATCAATACTGTGATTAGATATGGGGAAAGACCGGGCTAAGGAAGGTCATCACCACGAGTCTTACAGCAAACGTGTCTCCTTCAGTGACGTACCACTGCGAACATTTTCGCAGGAACTAAGTAAGACCCCCTCATTCAAACGGGAATGAGTGCATTAGTCGATTGGCGCTACCGCTTCCAGACATGAAGGCAGCTGAATTTGCACGTTATCTTATTGTTGAACGACCCACAACCTCATAGAACCAGTGACAATGCGTTATGATGTGCTTCTGTTGACGTCTAACGATGGACATGACGTCTTTTTTTCCTCAATACTTGCTGTTGCCCACGTCCTTCCTCGTTTAATGTTCACCTTGATGTTGCGTTTGCAGGTTCTGGGGCTGCTTCCCCTTCTACTTCGCGTAATGATAGACTCCCTAGAAGACAAGACAGTGATAGATTAGAAAATGATCATGAAAGAAGTAGTAATAAGTCTAAGATGGGGGCTTTCAAAACCATTGTAGCTGCCACCAAATTCAGAGCCAATTTAAAGAGGAGGAAGGGCAGGCAAAGTAGATCTTCATCCCTTCAAATTCACGACGACAGGGATGAAGAGGAGCAAAGGGCAGTGGACGACTTCCGGAACCTGCTACTATCAGAAAACTTATTACCTGCGAGACACGATGATTATTACTTACTTCTGCGGTGAGTTAGCCTATGTATTCTTGATTCTGAATCCAGAATGTTGATCTCTGTCGCATTTACTGGGAAGACGAAATAGCAATGTTTTCTTGAGCCTGAATTAAAAGTGGATCCTTAGACGAGGGTCACTGGAGGCATAATATCTTGTTGTAAGCATGTGATTTGTTTCAATGGTCCTGTGCAACTGTCAGGCCGTTGTTACGAATCCCTTAGGTTCAGTGATTCTGGACTGACATCGCACAGTAGGTGTCATATGATTATGCTCTTTCAGTTGTGAAGAGTTTGCCTAATCTTTTCTGTCGATCTTGGAGATTCAACCAGCTCGTGCGCTGTTCTTACCGTCTTTTCTGCTTTCAGCTTTTTACGAGCCAGGAAGGGCGATAGGGATAAAGCTAAAGAAATGTGGGCAAATATGCTGTCATGGCGAAAGGAGTATGGCACTGACACTATAGAAGAGGTAAATTGAATGCATTAATACCCGTTTATCTCCTTAGTTTGCCGAGTTTTCAAAGGCGTTTGACAGGCCTCCGTCCAATATTTTTGGAACAAAGTCTTTTTACACAAATCGAGAGGAATCTCATTGGAGTTGTTTGGTTCTACTTTTATTTGTTATTATGCAGGATTTTGACTATAAAGAATTAGAGGAAGTAAGGATGTACTACCCTCAAGGGCATCACGGAGTAGATAAGGAAGGGAGGCCAGTCTACATCGAGAGAATAGGAAAAGTGGATGCGACCAAGCTCATGCAGGTTACTACACTGGAGAGATATCTAAGATATCATGTATTGGAGTTCGAGAAAACTCTCAACTGGAAGTTTCCTGCATGTTCAATTGCTGCTAAGCGACACATATGTTCGACGACTACCATCCTGGACGTCGCGGGTGTGGTATGTCGTGAAACTTCCCAGGTTTACTGTTTTCGTACGTGCGTACTCGTTATACCTCGCTTGTGGATGTGCTTTTAAGATTCCTTGTAATTATGCACCTTAAACTGATTGGCCTTGAGGCGAGTCCTCGAATCTTGGGTCTTATAACAGGGCTTGAAGAATTTTATCAAATCCGCCCGGGATCTCATCGTGGGGATTCAAAAAATTGACAACGACAATTACCCCGAGGTAAGGTTCGCGGGCCATTTGGCGGAGTAGCAATTTTCGATTCCTACTGTTTTTTACATTGCAAACGCTTGGGGAATTTTGCCACGGATTAAATATGCAAGACTTTAACTTTTTGCACTAGATTGTAGTACCAGCTTATTCGTTCTAATATGAAAATCTGATCAACTCATCATCAATCACATCACAGACACTGCACCGGATGTTCATCATTAATGCCGGTGCTGGGTTCAAACTTCTCTGGAACACCATCAAGACCTTTTTAGACCCAAAGACAACCACCAAGATTCATGTACGTAGCTTTTTCCCGTCTCTCTGCGATGGGCTTCTAGTTTTCAACAAAGTATTCTGTAGAACGTGCCAATGAGTCTTCAACTCTTTTCCTCGTTCCATATTCTGCTGGAAGTGAAGCTCAACTTGCCTGCGCAGGTACTGGGCAACAAATACCAAAGCAAACTCCTGGAAATAATCGATCCAAGGTACAACTCAGCTCGAGTCTCTGCACCCCCTTTTTGACCATTGTGGTGCAGAGAACTATTTGTCAGCTTTAAGACTTTAAGCTGTATGTTTATTAAACTGATTTCGTCGCCGGAGTTTGTGCTATTAGGCCGCACCGGAAGTCATTCATGAACGATTGTTCATTTTTTTGCAGTGAACTTCCAGAATTTTTGGGCGGAACATGTACGTGTGCCGAAGAAGGCGGGTGTTTGCGTTCCGACAAAGGTCCCTGGAAGGAGGCAAACATTATCAAGGTACAGCCGTAGCCAGTATAATGTGACAATTGATTGTAGCCAGGTTGGTATGTCATGGTGAACAATCGCGTGGAGAAGCTGAGTAGATCATCGGCATCATACTCTCGAGGGAACGGTTGAGACCAAACTACGTTGCGGAAGTCGACGTATAAGAAAAACTTTTTCCAGCTTTTGAGTACGGGGATGGAATGGATTGCTCTGAAACTAAAGAAATGGTTGACTGAAGTTTGTTTGTACAGACGTTCTCCTCGATAGACTCGTTGTCAATGTCGAAAGCCGTCAGTGTTGCGAGTTTGACGGATGGGCAGCTTTTGGTCCAAGCGTTTTAGTTGCTATCAGACAAAACGTGTGATTTGTCTTCGCCTCGAATATCTTTGTGTAGGCCGTGAAGGCAGGTCACGCAAGAGCTGTCCCGAAGACTAATCTTCTCCCAGCACACAGTGGCGAAGAATCTTCTAGCACAGGACATCATAAGGTACGAATAGCGCTTTGCTACTCCATCAATAAATTCGTTTCAGGTTCTTTATGGGACAAGATACTAGTTTTCTTCTCACGTGATGTCTAACCTTTTTTTATATCAAGTAGCTAATATGTAAATGTCGTCCTTTTTTTTCCTTTATTTTGGGTCAGGGGAAGGATGCTGATTCTAGCACAGCAGAATCAGGGTCAGATGTCGAGGATGTGACATCACCTCACGGTGTTAGTCAGTCCGACATGTGCAGACTGACGCCAGTTCGTGAAGAGGTGAGAACATTTGAGAGCAAGGTGCATAATTAGCTACTCCCCTTAGGTACTATGGGTGGGTATTACAGGTATTAGTTGTGAAGACACTCTTGGAGAGGTCTGGCTGTTGTTGCTCGATGGAGTTTTTTTCCCTTCTTCTGTTTCTCTGTTTACTTTCTTAGTCTACATGCCATGTCGTATAACAAGCTTTGAAGATCACTTTAGTGTGATCACCTCTGTACCATTCATCCATTTGGGCTGATGTCTCGAAGTTGATTCACTTTAGACATATCAACGATTATTGGTCACGATTCACGGAAAGTTCACGGCACTTCTGGCGAGAACAACAGCAAAAGCTGGGGTTAATAGTTTGCAAATGTACGCTCGAATTTAGTCCTCCGCTCAAAGAGATTTTGACCTCTCTATTGACTTACGTAGCCCTTATCTGTCCATACATTCCTTTCTTTTTATCTGTTTGTGCATTCTTTCATATGTGGATTTATTGATGTATCACCGGTAAATGGCAAATAGATCAAGCCTGTGGAACCCAAAGGGTCAAAAGGCTGAAAAATACACTACAAGTCATACATTCACTGACCAGGGAAAAGATCCTAAAGACCTTCTCCTTGCTACCGCCTAGAGCACTAGAACGATGAATAATGACGTCCCTAATATAACAACCTAAATCAAAAGGCACTAGATGCTGTATGCTGTAGATGCCGTATCATAAGGTAATGTATGCTCCGGTTGCTTTCTTTCGGGCAATTACTTGGATCTGGTCGGAAACGATATGGGTTTCCAGTTGTCATGTCCATTAAGCTTGTGCGATTTTGCTATACTAGAAGGGAGTCGGAGAAAATAGTGTTGGCCAGTTATATTACTCTTAAGCTTCATCGTTGTGCAGTACTTTTCCTAGAATTCATACCTCCTCCTTCAGTAGGCCGACCTACGTTAATCTTATGAGAAGGTATGTAAGTAGTTTTTGAGCTGATTTATAGCCTTCTCAAAAATCAGCTCAGGAACAACGGAAAGTTATCGAGGAAGAAGACTGACTCTTACTTGCCCAATAATTGTCCCCTGTTGTGATGATGACCAAAGTGGGTAGACTATTAGTCTTTGGTGAGGTTAAAGGGTTGTTTTGTAAACTGGTCTCAACCTTCTCATTTAAGTAGATTAGAGAGAGAGGTTTCCACGCTTGGGCAACACGAACTTTTTCTAGATTTAAAGCAGAGTTAATAAATCAATCAAGTTCGCTTGTATTAAAAGAATTTAGGCTAGCAATCGTAAAGCGCTCCCCCTCTGGTCGAGTGCTATGCACCTCTCCTTTCCCGAATACGCTCCATGCGCACTACGTGCCTATGGCCGCCAACCTTGGTATGGAAGTTATGCATGAACGTAACGCTCACAACTTCCCTCTGGACTTAGCTGCTGTTTTAGTGCTAACTTGTCAAACACTATCATTCATGATGGAAACAATTGTATGCCATGGTGATCATGGAAAGACATAGGCATTTCTGCCTTTAGGAGAGTGAGGTTTTTGGTCAGTCGTACCAGGTGGAATATAGATCTGTCATTGAATACTGCGCATGCTTTTTATGCAGCGCACTTATTCCTGTTACAGTAATACTTCTGCCACCTGGATGTTAGGGCAGGACGAATTTCTGTCCTTGTCAAGGTTGGATTGAAGAACGATACAATGATACAAACAATAGACAATGACAATATCGTGCACCCATAAGCGGTGAGTTTAACAAGGTTCTCAGTATCACGACATCCAGTCACCAGCCGAGACGTCGAGCCAGGCTCTTTTTCTATATTACAAGACTTGGAGACTTGCATCGTCATGGGACTACCAAAAAATATTCTCTATATCTTTCTTCCTTTTTCCTTTTATTTCTCGTTGCCTATTATTCCCACAGAATGAAGGGTTGCTCAATTGACTTCCAGCAGCATGAACAATAGCCTGACGGTGGTGAGTTCGATTGAAGCTGCACGTCACTTGCGCAGAGCCTTAAATAGTCCTGAGGATCATATGAGAAAGTACATGTAGTTTGTAAAGATGATTGTGATGTGCATTTAGACCGAACTTAAATGACAAAACCTTCTGAAATTCTCATATTACGATTGTGTGAAAGTGAAAGCCAATTCATACAGACTATCAAAATCTATATCAGTCACTGTCTTGGTGACGGGGGAGTGGTACAGATCCGTACGGGTTGGACGTTGCGCTTCAAAATGTCCAGTTTTTTGTGCTGTTTATAAGTGAGTGAGTCAAGATTTCTTTCAGACAGGCCCGTGGCTTTTAAAAGTGCACTGCTCAAACGTAATTCGGTAGGAATTTCTGTGATCCTTCTTTGAAGGTTAGTGCGTCATGGGTGGGAATACTACATGGTTGCAGTGAGTTTCTACTCTGCGGAAAATCTGTAATTGAAGTGCGGTAGTGTTAGTGAATCATGAAGTGCAGATGGATGATTAAACTCCCACAATGACAGCTTATGTGGTACTCTTTGTTTATGCAGACTGGTCACAGCTTAGAGCATATTCCCATGGTGGACAAGGTTGTGGTGGACCGGGTTGGAAACGGTTACGGAAACGGGTTGGAGTCCAATATTAAACCCTCTGCAAGTCTCAACCACTTTAGAGGTGCCTTGCTGTCTCAGAGGACTTTGCTCTACGATAAGATCTTAACATCAATGTTCATTGCAAGAGTGCAGGCTGATATTCGCAAAACATGGACGGTTTTGGTTAATGTGTTTGGTATTTTTTTGCAGTTAGCGCGATGGATGACAGTAGTGATGATGAAAGCCAGTCTTTCCACGAACAATTTGTGCGTTTCTTGTCGATATTCTTTGGATTCCTACTCAGAGTGATCACCTATCCTTTCGGATTGTTTGGGAGCTGGTTGCCCAAAAGTTTAAAGTGGAGAAGGGACAGTGACGATGAGTTAACAACAAAATACCATCATGAAGCACATGCTCATGATCATGGACACGGCGGGAAGTCTTCTTCAAATGTTTCAAAACCGTTAAGCCGGCCACCTAGCAGTTTAGAGTTACCCGATATTTCTATTCAAAATCGTGTTGAGAAGCTGGAGTCTGAAGTTGTTAAGCTAGCTAAAACAGCAGAGCCTGCAGCGCCAAAGGTTGTTCTGCCGGATCCTGCTGCTGCAGAGCGAATAAAATCTCTTGAGAGTGAACTTGCTGAGACAAAGAAGGTGAGTCGGTTTTGTTCGTTTAATTTATGGATCATCAATGATTCGCTCTTGTTTCTGTTGTACTTTCCAGCACACAAGACACGTATAAGACCACTGGAATCTCTAGTACAAAGTGCTAAGCATTTCAGTTCAGTTTATTGAAGCTGTTCATTGAACTAGTGTACGCTGTTTATTGACTCATTGTGGATCGTTTTTTTCCACAACTGTTTTCGTCAGGTTTTGCGGACTGTACTATCTAAGCAGGAAGAGCTTTGTGACCTCCTGGAACGAATGAAAGATTTGAAGTGGGCTGTAAGTAGAGATCTTCATTTATACCTGTTTCCTGACAAATTTCCTTGGAGGTTCCTTCTTTGGAGAAAATTGATAAGTTAGTGTTTTCAGCTAGGGTGCTAAAAGCTAGTAGCTTTAATGAAACTATCATGACTTTTAGTGGTGTAAGTGAAATTTATTCATATTTTGCAGTTTGACGATGAGCGACTTGATTGCGGTTTGTTGAAGAGCTGTCACATGTCTTGACCTGATATCGAGTACTTTTACGACCTTCTGTGTTGACTGTGCGTTGGATGCATAGGATCTTCGACCAAACCAAATGTCCAGGGTTGCTACTTATGATTGATATATTGATATTGCAGAAAAAGATGCAGTGTTGGTGAGGTTCTAGGGGCCTGCTTCGATATCCGAGATCATTTTTTTCTCAATTGTTTTGAGTTGAGAAAACGGCGGTGATTTTTGGGGTTAGGACATCTCTGGGCTAGCTTCCTTGACAGCCCTATAAAATAACGCATTTAGTCTGAACTAGGCTTCCATTTCGAATGAAGCAAGTTCAGAAACACATCGTACATACAGTACAATATTGGAAGAAGTTTACCTTGAGAGTCCGGTTGAGGACTTTGATGGCGGCCGTTTATGTACATAGTAGGTAGTAAATCAGTAAATGATCATTGCGGTCTTGCTATCTCACCGTCTGTGGTTGAGATTTGAAAGTCGTTTAACATCTGCAGCCACTAGTTCTGCTCTTCAAAGTGTCTCCACATTTTTAAAGGTTCTCTCCGCCTGAATCTGCCATATGAATAAAGTTATTTGAACTTTGTATCTATTGAGTGTTCTAGCAACGTATCCTTTTCTTTGTTTGCTACCTTCCATTGGGAGGTTTTGGATGAGAGCCTGTATAACGTTTATTAGAAACTCGGGAACCCAGCGCATGCGTATGAATCTACAGTGATTGCCACTGTAGTTCTGTATCGATTCTGGATTGCATTTTTGCTTAATGATTTTGAGGGCAAAAATTACAGTCTCGGTCCTATCATACACCGTTTCGATGCCTGATGTAGTAAAGAAGCACCTATGCACAAACAACCAGATAATTCTTTGTACAGGCACGAAGAAAAGATTGTCATCTTGCTTGTCAAGCCTCTGCGAACACACTTCAGTATACAATTCATTGCTGTCGAAAGTGTCGTGCAACCAATTTCATTGAGGTGAGAATAGTCGTATGAAGTAAGCGAAACTGAAATGCCCTAAGCGAGATGCCTTTCAAAGTTTGCATGCAAACTCGCATTACACCTCGTTACCGAATCGAAGTCCTCAGTGTGAGTTTTGTTAACAGATTCTCATGTCCGCTTCTAGGAAGAAATAAGTAGGGTTGTGGTTTGAAATAGTGCTAGACATAAGAAGAATTGTTTCCAGTGGAGTACCAACAAGGTACATCTTTGAGCCATTATTGAATGCACTTCTCTTCTATCGTGTTCTGAGCAAATGGTCAGGTTTCAAAACCTTGAGTCACCCAAATTTAAGTTAAACAAAGGGTGATGAAGTTAGGAGTAGATACTCCACTCCATCAAGTGATTTCATATGAAGCCGGTCCTATATGATCCACGACTGATGTAGATGTCTGAACGACATGCTATGAAGCAACTCGTGCCCTCTTGATTCCAATAGAGTTTTGTGATCCTTTTCCTTCTGCTGTCCATGCTACGAAGAACGGCAAATACTGAGGTACTTTCGACATAGTTGTTAGAAAGCGAAAGACGCTCCAGTGTATGAGACCCTTCTTACGCTGTATGACCCACATGAAGCTAGAAAAAGGTTTAAACAGCCAGTACTTTTTCCAGATGGCTTCAATGTACACTACACAATCGTAGACAAGCTGCAGAAAGGTAACGCATAGACCAATATATGCAACATGTACAGGAAAAGGCTGTTTGGCCAAGATGAATCCAACTATTCATTAGGACAGACCTTATGTTGCTGACGGGAGAAGCGCTGTCTCTGCCCAGGAGACTCAGATTTCAAGCACAAGTTTTAGCATTAATAGGCATTCCTGAAGTTTCTGTTCGTGTTGTTGCTGTGCTAAGGTCTGCGTCTGTTGGGCTTGGCACTCACGCAAATCTCCACGCTTTCAAACTTACGCATAGCCATGCACGCCACTTGTTTGATAATTATAACTCAGACCAAAGCGTGGAATTTTAACCTTCAGAATTGAACTTATCTTCCGAAAAGTCCAAATGAATCAAAGAACCTGGCTCTCTCGTTAAATTCTTTGCTACCTAAAAAATAATATTGAATTAATTTTTGGACCTCCGAAAAGACAAGCTTTAGTTCATTTGGACAACTAAAATAGAAAATTCTATTCAGAAAAATATTATTTTGAATTTATGTAAACGAAGAGGTTCAAATCATAAAATGAATCTTCAATTTCTCGGTTCATAGTAATATTTCTATTCTTGTGGCTCTAAACTTACGTGTAGAGGAAAAAATACAAATAATATCATGATATCATAACATAATGAAGTTCTATTATAGATTTGTTAAATGAAATCGCAACAAGCGTTTGTAGTCCAACGGTTAGGATAATTGCCTTCCAAGCAATAGACCCGGGTTCGACTCCCGGCAGACGCACTCTCGCTCCTGTAGAAGTTTTGGAACTCTACTTGTCCCCCGTGCATCTCTTCATCATTCATGTTAGGCAATCAATACTTTTTTTCACATTATGGGTGCATCACTGTGATTCGAAAGTTGAGTATTCGCTTCCTACATTTCGACCTGTCCTTGCACAGATCACAAATATATGTCTGCCATGAATTTATTAGAAAGGTTCGAGTTGATTTTTCTTCATCGCAGTTCATTCCAAATGCTACATCCGTGACACTCTATGGCAACGGAAGAGTATCGATTCCATGAAACGTGTAGAAGGATGTTTTGTTTTGTTTTCTCAAGGGGTACACTCTACAAACTACATGAATGAACTGTAAAAAACATTGGTTTTGAAACCTTCTGGATCAATCTAAAGGGGAGGAAATTACTTGATGGAGTCCCATCGGCAAGGAAAGGTAAAAGTTAACAGTATTACTATTGGGCCTCTACCTTTTACCTTACACGTAGCACTATGGTCTACCTTTACTCTTTACCTCTACCTCAGGGTAATTACCCGGTTACCTGGTAGAGGTTTAAAAGGAATTCCAGGTCCAAGAATTTAGGTGATCAGCCCATCGTACCCAATCCTTGTCTTGCTCGATCAGCACACATGACGTGGGGGGCTGGACTTGTAGAGACCGTTCCGGTGACGCTCTTGTGAGAATTCAGTGAGTGGGGAAGTCACTGCCACCAGTGAGCTGCACACCTTGGTCACGGAGTCAATCTGATTCATTCCCACGAACTATACTTTATAATGAAGTGTTGTATACATGACCATGGAGCATGCAATGACAACTTCGTCTCAGGGTTGTCCTGATGGACGACTGGTTCACACATTTCTTCCATCGAGCTACGGATTGTGGACGATAGTACTCAATCTGTTGCGAGTCTCTGGAGCAGCCAGTTGAAGCAACTGAACGTAAGTGTAAATTTGGAACCCTTGTAGTTTATCAAATTTCAGATGCATTTTACAGAATCCCTCGTTCTTCGTGCGAACTCCAGTGGGACTGTGATGACAATAATAATATACGAGAAATCCCCTATTGAAACCAAATTCATCACTCCTCGCCACGGTTTTAGAGACCTTGACCACACATGACATGGCATCCTAGCAGAGTGAAGATGCGGATCAAGTCAATTCCAGCTAGTATTGAAGTACGCAAAGTCTCCCTTTTCTGAGCTTGCAGTGGCGTCACTACAGTTTTTTTTTTCGCTCTACCTTTACCTTACCCTATAGCAAAACGTATTAACATTACCCTTACCTTTTACATTTTTACCGGGTAACCTTAAAGTGTTACCTTACTTAGATGGGACCCTTGGGAAACTCAAACCTCTCCATGGTACCTGACAGGTTTCATATTACCAATGGGAGCTGCAGAGGCTGTCGATGGGTCCAATCGGATAAAATGAAACTTGTTGGTTTCCGTCAATTGTTTTGAGTTTCCCCGAGTCCCGTGAAGTAATTTCCTTAACCCTAATTTTCTCATCTTGATTGTGATGATATATTATATAAATGATTATTAATCTAATCATTTGATCGATTTTTAACAAGGTTTTAAGCACCAAATTGTGATAAAACCTTAACAACCAGATCCTGCAATAAAAAAATTTTGAAATTGATCCTGGAACATTTAATTTGGTGTAGTGAAATTTTCTTTATCCATTTCATTAACATTTTGCACATTCTGCCACAAAGATCTTACGGCTATTGGACACTACCAAGCCAAACGAGAATAACACCAGAAGACCGATCAGGGATGCGTTTTATTATTAAAATGTCGAAAATATAGTTTGCATTGCTTAAACGATCCAGAATATCCATTTCACTCTCACAAGAGTAAATTATTTGATGAGACTCAACCGGTTTCATTTCATTTCATCTCATTTCATCGGGTAAATGAAAACTGTGGGGTACGAACAAGGAATGTGAGTTTCCCAGGTCTATCAAATAATTATCTCCTCTCACCTGTCGTGTATCATAACAAAAAATTACACCTTACAGAAACAATAAATGTTCTTTGCACCAATAATAAAAACTCAATACCGAAACATAAAAGTAGTGTCCATATTTGTCTATAGTATCTTGTGATTATGGCAGTATTTGCAATTCAATCATAATTCACCTTCAAACATGCAGACTCTTTCCGTCTATAATAGTCTCCCAGACAACCACCTACTAGAATGACAATGAGTCAGGACAATTTTCTCTGGAGTTTCCAACCATGATTAGTATTAGACTTAAATCCTCCCCAAGGTTCCTTATTTACCGAAAATTATCGTATGGATCTGACGACTTAGCGAAGATAACACACAAATTCAATATTCGCCAGAGATACTTCTCCCAGTTCTCGAACTCAGAGCCTGCGGCCGCCGGCTGCGTCCTTAATGTCAACGGGCGGAGAGCCTTTCGATTGCTCTTGCGCAGTGAGAAGAGACGAGCGAGATCGAACGAATGCACGGAAGAGATCGTCCTCGTGCGCAAAGACACTTTCATAATCGACGTTTGCGAGAAAGAGCGAGTGAGAGGAGAGAGAAAAGTGCCCCAGATATGGATCTTCGCAAACTCCGGATTCGAATTCCCAAAATAATGTCAGGGCCAAAGTGTAGTCAGCCATCTCTCTAGACGCACGGGGTACAAGAAAAAAAGTGGTGAGCAAATGAGAGTTTGGATGGAGGGAATCGGCTTTGCACATTTGCCACTTCCCCCAATCAATCAATCAGCTCAAGAAATGGATGACATCCCTCGGTTGAAGGAAGCAGAAGCTCTTGTTGCGAATGTGGGAGTTGCAGGCTCTCGTTATTCCCCATCGTTGAGGTTCTTACATCGGTGCCTACGAGCGTGGCTTGAAAATGCTACGCAGAGAAATTGTACACTAGTGTTACAGGAACAAGGGCGTTAGCTTCTACGAGTTGACAGCTGCGGGTTCCGCTGTGACAACACTCTTTACACTCTGCCTCTTCTTCAATTTGCACCACAGTCCCGCCTTGGTATGAATGGTGGCCCCGGTGACCAGCTCCACATCCTCGGGCTTGCCTTTCAGTTGCACGTCGAACTTTTGCAGAAGCCTCGTGAGTCCGATGGTGGACTCCATCAACGCAAACTGGTCTCCTACGCACTTGCGAGGACCACCACCGAATGGCAAAAATGCGAAATCCGCAATCGTCTGCTCAAACATGTCCACCACCACACATAAGACCATCAAATTTCCACCCATTCCGTGGTGTAGACATCCGACCAGGACATGCTGCTCTCAGACACTGCTCCCATATGAGCGTACTACTCTAGAAACTCAATAATCCACGTCGTATACGTCTTATGGACTATCTAAAGATGATGAATCCGCGAGCGACGCAGGTGGAAGCACGTACAGCAGAGCTTGTTGATCTTGTTGCTTACCTCGTTTGGATACAATGCACCTTGACTCCGCTGGGGATCGAAACCAGCCCAGCCATCGACCTCACTCTGTTTGGCCTTCAAGAATCTCTCGGGCATGAATTTATCAGGTTCGTCCCAAAAGTAGGGAGATCGGTGCAGATTGTACACCTGGTGAGTGGGGATTTCAAAGCTGAATTCAGCGCCTCGAGAATTTTTTTCATCCTTTGTCTCGATCAACATGAGACCATGAGCATTGGGATTAAGACAGGCAACCACTTTTCAATGGACAGACGCGTGGTGCTTTGAGCTCGACTTACAGAAATGAAGATATCGACTCCTTTTGGGATGGCGTAGCCGTTCACGTCTCCTTTATGGCCCCCTGTCATTCATATTTCAACGACGGTCAAAATCACTGAAAAACTCTGGATGGGAAGCAAATTCGGAGAATGACAAAAGCAAGAGGGAGATCGATGGCCATGATACTTTCATCTAGTCCCGGAGTGTCCAGATGATTCGGCTCTACAAAACGGCAATGGACAATGCAGCTTGAAGCAACTACCTGGAAGCTTGTCGGGTTTCAGTGACCGCCTGATAAGCAGTGGTGGTTGAGGGTACAGACGTAATGATTCCGCAACGATGAGGCGCACGTACCTACAAAATGATGCCGCAGCTTTCAATTCAGAATTCATTTCAATTCACCTCGGAACATGGCTATCCGGAACCCACTACACTCGACATTATTTCGTGGTGCAGGTAATACTGCACTCCGGTTGGAAACTCTGGAGCCTTCAGAAGCAGCGGTGGCGGCTCGCAGACTGGATAATGACAACAATTCTCGGATGGCCCGGACAGCGTGCAAGTGACGACAGTAGTAGGACAAGGGATACTCACTGCAGCTTTTTCAGGTCCTCGTATGTTGGCTTCCGTTCTCCCAGAACGCTGTCTATCTCGTCCTGAGCCTTTTTTATTTTATCCGGGTTCTGTGAATATTCAGAAGCAGGCCAAAGAGGTTAAGAGAAGGTCAGAACAGAGTCCATGCCTTCAAGCAAAATGAAACCACTCCACATCACCACCAGGCTCTAATACATAGCCTGGGGACGGGGACGGAGACGCAGGTTTTGACTCAAAGAAGATCGACAGAAATGGCGAACAGATTGTAACTGCCGAGTGTCTCTATCTCTGACCCAATTCCTGCAACATGCAAAGATACTTTTCACTTGATAGACAACAAAGACGACAAAGATAGAGAGGCCAAGGGGTAGTAGCATGGTGGCATCACCAGTGAGTCGCACCTGAGCAAGCATATAAGTTGCCCAAGTTAGCACAGCAGCCGTGGTTTCATGGCCGGCAATGAGCATCGTCATCAAGTCATCTCGAAGCTGTCGTGGATTCCCACAAGTAGTGAGATTCAGTATCAAAGACGTTCTCCGTCATAGACATACAAGACTAATTCAATTCCGATTGCAACACTCATCGAGGTTCCCTGACTCTGGAAATTCAGATCCCTTCTTCTCTATCACATATTTGCACGAAATTCCAAAGCTCGTGGACCTTTACTGTCCAGCACAACTCAAGTTGTAAGTTTCTCTGGACGGAGGAGGAGAATGAGCCAAAGACTTTGAACGCCTGACCTGCTTGTCATCAGGTTCTTCTCCTCTCATGTCGACGAGGAACCGCAGTAAGCTCTTATCCTATAACAGTAAACACAAAGTTCAGTATACTGGAGAGATGACGAGATTATTCTCTCCGTGTACTTAAAAAAACCTCCATCGCTATGATCCTTACTCAGCCTTACAAGCTATGGTAGGAAAAATTAGGTATTTCAGAGGTATGCTTACATTAACTTTGGAATAATCTCGTTGTTGCATCGCTTCAGCATCGTCTTCCTGGACTCATAGGACAAAGACGACGTGAAGATCAGATCATCGGCAAGTGTAACATTTGAACGATCATATCCATTCATATCAGGCTTCACAGAATCTCTATATCGTTACAAAGGACTTCAGCTTTTGTCTGTCATACACAGCCTGAAGACTACAGGACCCTGGAGCTTGGCTGAGCGATCCTAAAGTCTCATCAGAAAAGTCTAGGAACAAGACAATAACCATGGGACTTTAGGATGCGTCACTTCAACTTGAAACCCACCTGACGAGTGTCTCGTGCATTCCGAATGAGGTCGTCGAGGCAATCGTTTATAACTTTCAGATCCGCGTTAAATTTCACTTGGCGGGGAACGAGCCATCTTGCTGGAGGAAACTTCCAATAAGGGATGTAAAATGTCGATCTATGTTCTGCTTCGTACAAAGTGCCGTACACAGCCTGCACAGAAAATTCACCAATCAATATCAGAGATCATAATTTCGGTTAGAACTTTTAAATTGCTCACTTAGTTACTGGAAAACGAAGAGAGAAAAAAGCCCACACAAAGCCTGCATGTTTCAGGTTACCGAGATAAGAAACCTGGATAACTGGAGATTCGGATGTCACAGATCCAAAGTCATAGTTGAACACGCTTATGCCAATGATATCAAGGGCGAGATTCGAGTACTCGGCCTCCATCTCGACTTCGATCAGGTCTTCGCCTGTGGATTGGGCTCTATGCAGACGAGTTTCTAGTTTGTTTATAGTCCTCTCCGTGCAGTCGTTGAACACCTCAACCATCGACTCCAAGTATGCTGAGTGGAAACCTGGAACAATAGCTGTTCAACCACAGCAGAGATGAAGTGGTTCAGCCACCAGGGATGAGGAAAAGGTAAGTCTTCAAGAGCGAGGTTTCAGTAAGCTACCGGAAGAGTGATCTAATGAAAATATCACCCACAACAGGAGGAGATACCACTAGAAACAGCTTGTCAATAAAGCCTGAGATTGATCTCTGTGGTCTTTGTCACTTTAAGCACGGCTAACGAGGTCGCCAGAGAAATTTCCAAGCAACTTGTGAGAATCTCTCTGGTCCCAGTGATTACGTACTTCCATTCTTTCATCCAAATGTTCATGTCTGAAAACAAACAGCAGATTAAATCGAACCCAAGGAATAAGTCAAAGTACTCCTCCAGATTGGACAACATCACGGACCATTTGTGTAAGTACAGGGTCACCAACCGAAACTTAAAGGCACATGATCCCACCATACCTCGCCTTCTAACCTTCCATGTCTCTAAATCTGCTGGAATAAGTCCCTTGCCCATGATTGGCTCCAAAATATCTGCAAGAACGCCCTGTAGATGAAAACCTGAGTACTCAAAAAACAATAAATGTGACTGATAGAAGAAACAGAGTAAGTAACATCCTATGAAGCGTGGTCTGTCAAGAATTGGATAAAGGCTCATTTCAAAGGCTGCCACAAACCTTATCATAGCCAAAAGCATTCTCCCGAAGAATGTGTCTCGCCACAATAGGATCGGAGACGACCACGAATGCTTTCGGCCCGAAGGCTAATTTGTAAACTGATCCATGCTGCATCCACCCGTCAATCAGAGCAGATAAGATAAAGGCTTGTAGCACAGTATAAGGTTGGCATTTAGAGAAAAACATCTTCACAAATAAATCTGTGTTTGGCAGCTGATGCATGTTGGTCTGGGTGACATGACTTACTTGGATAAACCAATCATAGAGAGCGAAGAAGAGAGGTCTCGCAAAGAGGTCCGAAACAGCTCCTTCTGCTATGGGCATAGAACCGAGGTTTCCTCCACTGAGAAGGTTTGTCAACAAATTGCTTGCATTGTCTAGAAGTGATCTCTCCTTCACGGACTTGGGCTCGGAATCTGTCCTCAAACTGCGACAATGCACAGAAAGCTTCAGAGAAGGCTCTGGCCAAAACCCAGCACAGCGGATAAACCAACAGTTATTCGTGCGGACACCCTCTTTTAGATTTTTTTAATAAAATTTGAAAATTCGGTTTGATCCAGAAACTGAATTCGGCGGGATCTCCTCTCGCCTTCCTGAGCTGAAAATTGTAACCTTCAATTTGCATCAGTCTCTTCGTGTGTAGCTGTCACTTGTTCCAGTCTTATCCCATGAGAACCCGCGAGGATTATTCGGGAAACTTTTTTTTCCGTTCACAAGCAATAAATTGTGCATAGAATTCCTGCTGGAGGCTGGAATTGTTCAGCACAAAGACACAGACAAGACAATGATTTTTCATTGGACTCCCTGAAGATACCAGGAGCAATCTGGAAGACCATTCGGAATCCATTGATGCAGTCCAGTCCGTGCGAGAATAGCCACTGACAATTCACAAAGCCGGACTTATTGGCGAGTCACAAAACGGAAGGCAAGGGCTGCTAGTTTCGGGGTGCGAGTTCGAGCAACTTGAAGAGCGGTTGAGAATTGGATTTCCGGCTCTGACCAACTGGAGCTCGCTCGCTGGAGTCTTGCAATAAAATTCATGCGGCCTAGGAGCTGGGTGGCTCACCAGGTGATAGGACCGCCTGAAGAATGTTTACGTCCGGAGGGGGATGAGGAAGGAACGAAAGCCGCTGCTCCCGTCTGCGCAACAGAGCTCGAAAACGAGAGCGAAGCTGCGGCTTGAGGCAATGCACCAGCGCATCGCCCAGCTGCAGCTGCCACAGCCATCGCTGCAGAACAAATCAATCAAAATCAAAATTCCCACTGCGCCTCGCACTCGCACGGATTTCCCACTCGCTCCCGCACAACTGGGCTCGGCCGGCTCCGGCTCCTGCTCACAATAGAACCTCAAAGCCCGCCACGAACCCTGAGAAAGCAGAGCACCGAGTCATCGGAAGAAGGTGCTGCTCGTGCAGGTCGAGGCTTCGAGCGCTTCTCGTTATCCAGTGGCAGATGCTGCTGCTCATGCTCTTCCTCGTCGCCCGAATCGCTCGATGTCCGAAAAGTGCACTCCTGCTCGTGGCACCACGTTCTCTGCGGCCGAAAAGTCACCGCGATCGACCGGTGGCCCCAGGCGAGAACCTGCTGTTGCCCGCATCTCGCCTCCTAACCAAGGGTTCGGGCAACCGTCGGGATCCTCACGGCTCGGCTAACGGCTAGCCGGCTAATATTCTTTGTTAGCCGGCTATACGTCAACTTTCCGGCTAGCCGGAACGCTATCCGAAGACGAAAACGATCCGAAACTCAGACCAACTCTGAGTTGTCGGCCGATTTTTTCGGTTGATTCATGCGAAATTATACCCCCGAATCCTTATTTCGACCGTATATTTTAGCCGGTATGCGTTTTCGGTCGATAGCCGTGGGCTAATCGGCTAAATTTGAGTTCCTAGCAAGCTAGCCATTTGTATCGGCTGGCAAAACTTTAGCCGGCTACGTGACCATGTCTAGGCAACCGCGAGAGAACTGGTTGTACGAGAACATCCGCGCAAATCCGGCGAAGAAATACTGTCTCCATCGACGGGGACGGCGCGTGTTGCCGGTTCTGCCGGTCCAGTTTCCAGTGGAGAATTCTCGCTGCGGACAATTGCCGGGGAACAGGGTGGATAAGGCGGTCGACGGTAACAGGGAGCACCGGTTCGTCGCGGAGTAGGTTGTTGTGCTTTATAATACGTCTTTCGGTTCATGCAAATCTCGACTTCCAATGACATCTCGTTACCTTACGTCTCTCCAACTGTAATCCACGTGGCAGTCTTTGCACATTCGGCCGATGTGCCGGGCATGTGACTTTCATGTATTTTATTCTCCCCTTGCATCAACAGTGAGGGCATCTCATGCTTCATTTGCTGGCAAAGTCGTCTCAATCTTTCTAATTTATCGAAATGTCAAATATCTCATCATTTTATTTTTTTTAGTCAACAAATTTATAAAGCTTAATGGATGTTTTGATTGCAATGCACTCTAGCAGATGTAATTGAAAGAAAATCTTTATTAATTATGTGTAACCTATCATCTAGAAAATTAGTAATATAACTTGCAGTTTCACTATTTTCCAACTGAAAAAAGACTGAATCAAATTTTTCAAATGCTACCTATCTTCACAGTACAAATTTATCCAATTCTGATGGTATTCAGAGAACCCAACCCAACATTTTTTTATCATCAAAAACTAATGATCTAATTACTTAAAACTATGTCAAATTGTTTTAAAACCTCTAAGTGATTTACTCTAAGACTTGGATTTTCATACAAGTCAAATACACATTATATCTTTTTAGATTTAGACCACCTCAATTGTATCCCAAAGTACACGTGGTTTCAGACAACATGTATTCGTTAAAAAACAGTTCACACCTGACAAAGTACACCTTCTGAACATATACAAGAGAAGAAATAAATGTTGTAAGCATACGACAAAACACTTCAGAGGCCTTGTGTAAAAATCAACCATTGTTTTTGTTTATTTAGTGAACAGCTATTGTAGACATCAAAGAATTATACAAAAAAATATATAACCGAAAGGAAAAATCTGAGAAATGATGACAACTACTTTAAAAATATTATCACAACCTGACTATATGGTATACCGCCAAGGTGGTAGAGACCAATAACAAACAATTAGTCTCATGAAGTTCTTATAATGCCTTTGAGCATTTTGAATAAGTCAGAATTAGTAACAAGAAGCTCATACTTATTATACTCCTATATGAAAGGACTGGGGTGAGATCTTTTGTAACCTATGTAGAATTTTTTCAAATAGAAATCAAATATAAATATATACAGATAATTGTAAAATTTTTTGTGATATATTATATTTGATGAATTGATTTGATCTGAATTTTTTTTGAAAAAATGATGTATATCATAACAGTCATATATATTTTCTAATCTATATCATACATTCATATTTTGGTCTAAATATTATGATATTTTTAGATCAACATTGATCAAGTAGCTTAAAATTTCATTGAAATATATTAAAAATGTATTTTTACAATGATTATTAATTCACCATAATAAATCATTCTACACCACTTAAAAAATAAAAATCCGGAATCAGAACACTTTCTACAGATGTATGATATAAAATTTGCCATACATATTCTGGACTATATTTCACAAATTGATCAAATACCATCACAACTTTTTCAATGTATCATACATATTATGGGTTATGTAAATAGATTGTTTGAGTTTTTTGTAAGGTATTAAGTGTTTTATCTCTAAATCATTTGGGAGAGAACTAAATTTTCAGATAATTTCTATTCAATGAGATGATCAATTTTACAAATTCTTGCAAATATATCTTAATTCTCTAATATATTCCTCGTCATTCTATTAATGATTGAAATTTCATCTTTTCATAAGTCTTAGTTTCAATGTTAAATTCTTTCATTGTTGAAAATGAAAAATTCAAAAAATTAATGAATTTTTTTCTCAATAAATAATTAATTGTCAATAAATGATATAAAATGCATCTGTTCATATCATGAAATATAAATATTTAATTTATATATCAATATAGATATATTCACTATATATGTATTAAAATTTTTATTATGAATTTTAAGAGATTTTTGAATTTTTTTTCTAGTTACAATGTTTATTTAAATATTCAATTATGGATTGTAAGTTAGATACAAAATCTTGTAAATAATAGACATATATTATTTACTAGTATGAAAAAATCTTGACTTACATAAATAAATGTTTATTTTGATTATGATATCTATAAGCATGTGATTCATCATGAATAGTGCGACGCTTAAGCATATGCAAATTTTGATGCTTTTAAATTTGAGAATTGATATTTGTTCTAATCATGATTAGAAGCACATCATGCAAAAATTGATGACCACATTGATTTCAAATTTCAAATGATATAGAATTTAATTATGGAAAAAGTATAAATAAATTAATATAATTCATTTAAATAGTATTAAATATATTAATCTTCACACATTTAATGACTTCAATTTCATATTAGATCAATCAATATTTGATAAAAACTTATAATATCATATAAAACATAAATATGCATAATAAGTAAAAAAAAATATTATTAAAAAAAATTCAAAATCATACTTTTGACATTATAATGATGATATCACATCTGATAAAGCATGACTATATTAGTCAGTTAACTAAATTTTCCAAATTAGTTTAATTTACTATCATGAAGAAAATTAATTGTGCACTTTAGTGCACAACTGCAGTCAAGGCGGCAAAAGCCGCTTTGAGTGCACTTGAGAACAAGTGAGTGATTTGGCGGAAGAGAGTCACCATCACATCGGGCTTGTGGGCGAAAGAAAAGTTAAATTACAAATTCCAAATTACTACCGTAGTGAGTTATGAGATGCTACAGTTATGAGATGCTACAACATGCTAACAGACTAATTAATACTAATCACAACTAAATGGCTGAGATCTTTCACGCTTTAATTGTAGTTTAGATGTTACTCTTGATTTAGGCCCTAAAGGAGTGATCAATTTAGATAATTTAGGCCACTCGGTATATAATCATCTAAATTAATAATGGTTGCATATGTATCATCCAAACTATGATTGAAGTGTGAAAGATCTCAATCATTCAGCTCTGATAGTGTTAATCAGTTTGTTAGCAAGTTAGTCTCATATTATCATCTTCGTTATGTGCAATTTTTGCTACACAAAGATTCATTATTCTTTTTTTAGTTCGTAAGTTTTGTCACACTTTTGATTTTATGTCATTTAAATTATCTATATTTCATCATATTTATATTTTTTTAGCCATTTTATGATTCATATTTAAGATTTTATATATAAGATTTATATTTAAGATTTCATATATGAAACAAAAGATTGCAAAACAACTTTCACGTAATAAAGTTAATTTGTCAAAAAAAAAAACTTGTTAATCTATCCTAGATTATGATCTTTGCATCCTCATAAAATAACATTCATACATTTTTTGTTAATCAAAGTAAATCAAACACACAAAAAGTTTTGTTTTGGTCACTTAATAATTCATATAGACTTTATAAAATCACAAACAATTATTGAAAATATCAAATTGATCTTATATCTTTGTAAGACAAACTTCATTTTAAAGCTACTCATTTTCAAAAACATGTATTGAAAATTTAGTGATTTTTTGATTGATATTTTTGTTAAAATCGTATTGCACTCTTTGTACTTATCTCATTGTTTCATGAAATAGATTTGAAAATGAAATATCAATAAATATTAAAATTATATTTTGTGTGTTTTGAATTGTCTTTTGAAGTCAGCATTGTCTTGTATAGAAAAAATTTTTAAAATCTTTTTTTAGACCATTTTCTATATTTAAATTAATATATAAGAGAAAATAATTTTTTTTATTTTTATTTGGCAATTTAACCTTATAATAGTATTTTTTAAACTGTGGTATTCTTTATTTATTGATAAAAAGAAAAATCATTTAATATTTTTAATTCATATTATGATTATAATTTTTTTTATTTAAATATAATTAATTAGTTCAAAGACAATTAGTTTTCAAATTGAAAAAATAAATTTGAAATATTTATCAAAACATATTCACAATATGAAAAATATTATTATTAAAGTATAATTACTTCAAATTATTTCTAATTTTTATTCATTCATAGATTAAAAATGCAAAACATAGCTAAAGTTCATTTTTTATGACAAAATGAAAGTCATGATGATCATAATTTTAAAAAATAATATATTCATTATTAAATTTATGAATACACTCACTAATTATGGTTGAAAAAGATTTAGAGTACTTTCAGTACTAATTTGTAGTTTATTTTGAAACTTTTTTAACACATTGTAAAATATTTTTGAGCTAATTTTCAATAAATGCTTACATATTTAATTATTTTGGAAAATTATAAAATATGCAATATTGCTTAAATTTTTTTTAATCAATCAAATCAACATTAACGTTTTTAAGTGAGAAAATATTTGAAATTTGTATTTGTTAACAT